TCATTTACTTCTGTTATTATTTCCAGATTAAATTTTCCATTCCTTATTCTCATCTCAAAAATAAGTTTTGCTTGGTAAATTTAAGAAAAATCTTCAAATGTTATAGATAGAGAACAAGTCAAGAAGATAATTATTTTTTCTGTAAAATTAAACTCTGAAACTAGATTGCTTATTAAGGTTATTTCTTCAGTTACTTAAATAAAATTAACTGCTCTGATAGTTTTCTAGACAACATGAAATTTTTGGAAATTAAGTGAAATAGTAAAAGGTAGCAAAATAAATAATTTTGCAGGACCTAAAGCACATCATTCTCACTAACTTTTAGAGTAATGACAATCTTTAATTAATATATTTCTTAATTTATTTAATTAATAATTATTAATTTATTTAATTAATGATACTCCCTTCCACAGATTTCCTAAGGAATAAAGAATGATGTGAGGATAGACAAATAAGGGCAGAAACCCAGAGAAGATAAATTGTGGCTTTCATTATGTAAGTTTTCTTTTCCTAGGCCCGGCCCACACCCATATTAACAAACAGTTCTTTTGCTTTTTAAGAACTTCTTTCCTCATTGACAATTTTTTTTTTGCTGTTTGTTTTGATTCTTTTTTTTAATGCTAGAGTTATTTAGTTCCAATTATTTTATTCCAAATTACAGGAGCTTCATGTTAAGGACATTACTCAGCTGTTCGTATTTCCATCAGTATCTCCTTCCTTTGTAATCTGAGAGTTGTCCAAGTGCAGAGGAGATATATAACCTCAGCTTCTCAACTCTATTGCATAATTCCAAAGTTTCATTCATTTCAATGAATGTAAGCTGATCTGGCAACAAAGGCAAGAGCACAAGAAACTCCCTAGAGAACGTAGAATTCTGTAGATATATAACTTGTTTTAAGATAAAATTCAACATAGCTACAAATATATACATGTATATCTATCTATCTATCTATCTATCTATCTATCTATCTATCTGTCTATCTATCTATCTATCTATCTATCTATCTATCTATCTATCTATATCTCAGATTAAAACCAGAATTTGTCTCCCAACCAGAAACTTGGTGAAATAAAAAGGCTTTTAGGGTGAATAATGCATTTTCTTTATAGAAGCTAAAATATGTCTTGAAAATTATCCTATAAAAAACAAAGTTATTCAATATTTGGATCATTTGTATCAGATTTAGAGATAGTCTGTATAAGTCTCATTGGTCTCCTTCCAGCTGCTGCTGTTGAGGACACTCACAGATTTCCAGAGAAGCAACATATATTTGACTTTAGGACCTCTTGCTTCACAAGCCTGTTGTCAAATTAAAGGCACTTGGCAAAGGAATTTACAGGGGTATTAACTGAGATGCTGGCCTTTTGCAAGATAAAATACAGTGGAGGAAACATTTTAATTAAAAACTTCTTCTATAGGAAGATATCCTCAGGCAGCAAAAGCTGGTCTCCCCCTTGTCTCTGTGGTTCTGATGATAAACTGCTGAATCCTGTGTGTACGAAAGTTTATTGAGCTCCCATGCGTGCAACTGTGAATAAATATTTTCCCAGTTGTTGTCACACTGACACACCTTATATTTGCCCCGAGTTTGTTCTCAGTTTTAAAACCAGGCTACTCAAATTTGCCCAGTGGACATGAAGCCAATCAAGACTGGGTCTTCTACTTGAATTTGCTGCTAGAGTGGGGTAGGCAGGGATAAGAAAATATAGATGTTTTTGTCACAGTCTAAAGAGAAAATTTTTCTCCTCAGTGACAGTATTGACCAGAGAGAAAAGACACATCTTCCCTTAACCACCCCCTCACCAAATCCTTTTGCTGTATTGACTTGTACCCTTTAACACAGCCACTGTATAATATCAGAGCTCATTTAATAAATATGCAGAGATTTCCTCTTTGAGCAAGAGATATCGATTTTAATGAAACTTGTAACACAGTAGAAAAGATGTGTATAAATAAACTTAAATACTAATAGTGCAGCAATTACACTGTTAATTTGCACTATCAATTGAAAAATCTGCAAACATAGCTATTACACACTCTTCCTTTTATGTATCCTCTTTTTCATTATCTTTAATGGTTAAACCCAGGAAATTTTAGTTGAGTATATAATCAGCTATTAAGACAAAGTTGAAAATATGAACTACCTTTTAAATTATCTACTAAATATGAACCATTATCCAGACACTGTATCAGGCTTTCATTCTGAGGCATAGAGTAAGCTAAATCCCGTAAATCCTCATACACATATTGGCTATATGTGTAAAACATCAAAAGTAATTTCAGTGAGAATTCCCCTGCTCAAAACCGAATGGAGTTTGATGTCTCAGGATCAAAAACCTATTCTTTAGGTAGCCTTTCACTTTCACTGTGATGATTTGAAAAGTAAGATCCTATGACTCAGGCCAGGAATGCAGATTCTATCTCACCATTCATGCTGTGTAGACAGCTTGAAACAGAAGATACTTGGAACATATAAGAAGAAGCTCAACACCCACAAAACAAATAAATTTATTTGACATTAAACTTGAAAAATATTTTAAATAATATGTTGTAATTCTAGGCACAGTAACTCCCTTGCCACATCAAAATTAAATCTGGGTTTGGGACACTACTAAGAACACACAAGAAGTATTTGCAAAAACTGACTGCACTGAAGTGTGAAAAATCAATTAAAACTTCCAGCCACCTCTGGATATAAATATTTTCCATGAAATAAAATGTTGCTAAAAAGCTCATAAGCATTCATTTTGTTTTTAAAAATGTTAGATGATACATTGAAATTGAATAGACACAGATTTTAATTACAGATTTAAATTGGATCAACTGTCTTTAAACATCAAACCCATAAATATTATTCTTTCCTCTTATTTTCTGCTTTATATTTATATATCTCCTTCCATGCAAAACACATTTGTTTGGACATGATCAGAAAGCCTTAGATAAGTGAATACTCCTTTCAATCTGTTGAGCCAAAAATCTGAGCCTGTTGCTTCGTAAGCGAAACCTCTTGAAAGCTGAGTGTCACCAGACTTGCTACACTGTTCTGCAACTCCAGAATAAAGCCACAGTGTTCCCTCATCACTCTTACCCTTCAGCTTTCCCTGTGTTTCGTGCTCTTATTACATCCTCCTTACAGTGGTGTATCAGCTCGGCTGCTTCAAGGACTCGTCTATTTCTGCTGCATTTGGAACCTTCTTTAGCAAGATATAAGGAGTCTGAGTGAATGAATCCCTCAGGAATCATTCAGTTCAGCATGGTAGCTTCTGGCAGTGATCTCAGACATGCAGTAACAAAGGCAAGGGGTTATCCAATCATTCCAGTAATGAACTGGGAGGATTGTACTAAGGATACCAGTCAAGGTGAAGAAATGTTGGTTGCCACTTCTACTTTTAATAGCTAGATAATTGCCAATTTGCAATTCCCAAAACTCTGGGAGAGTTTTGATTTTATTTCAACAGGAAAAAAATTACTGTAAGAACCAAACAACCTAAATTAACTTTCTTTTATGACAGTAATTTCTAAATTACTCAGAGCAGCATTTTTATACTGACAGAGAATCTGAGAGACTTAGAACTCCTTCCTCAAAGCAGACTACAACACAAAAATCTCACTGGATTGGACCAGAGACTTCAAAAGACAAAGTTTAGTGTCTTGTAGATGACCTTATGTACAGACTGTACTTACTGCATTTATGGAAGTATTTAAATAAATTTAATCTTTCTAGTTTAATAAACAAATGTGTAGTGGTTTAGATTTGCTGATTTTGTTTTCTTGGCTAACACACTAAATAAATGTTGTGGTTTTAAAGCAGTAACTAAAAAAAATTAGTAGAAAATTTACTTATTTTTTGCTGTGAGATGTGGATTAAAACAAGAGCAAAACAGGATTAAAACTTAAAAGGAATAAAGAAAGTTTATTAACAAATTGCAAGAATAACAAAACCAGAATAAAACTTCAGAAAACTTTTTTTTTTTGCTACCTAACTATTTTCTTGTTTACATGACAACACAGAGACAAAAAAACTTTGGAGTTTTGGTGTTTAAAACAGTCTCAATTTTTGCTAGTCTTTTTATCAGTCTTTGTAGAGAAACAGAAGTCTTTTTTTGCTAATCTATGGAGTTTCTCACAAGAAAACTATTTCTGTTATAGTTTTCTATTTCTCTGATGCCAGCTGCCCGGAAATCTGTCATCATGTGTCTTCTCATTTCACATCACTCTGAGGTGTGTTATGGGCCATGAGTCTAGGGATGTCATTTTTAAGGACGAGTTATTTAAAGGTAAAAGTTCTCTTTATCTGTCTCTGTGAGCCTCTCTGGAAACAGAAGTTTTCTCTTTGCTTCTCAAGGCCTCAAATCTTCAACTGTTACTTCTCTCCCTTCTGTTCCAGCACCTCACTGTATCACAGTTACTCCACGTTTTGTTCAAAATCCACACTTTGAACACTCTATTCTTCTCAATATACTCTGTTGCGAATTAAAGGAGCTTTTTTCAGAACGCTACTGTCTATCTCTATAGCTTTAACAGAATAATATTTCACCTTAATTAAAGCATCTCTTTACTCTCTCTTCCCCATCTAAAACTTAACTTTTTTCTTCACTGTATTTGATGGTTTTATGATGTCTTCTTCATGTTATCTCTCTCTCTCTCTCTCTGGGAAAAAGGAGTAATCTGTAAGTTTTATTGAGTTAGTAAAAGAGTTAAAGTCTTGGAAAAGCTGCAGATGTTCATGGTGTCAGGTTTCAGTCCAGCAGCAGAAACTACAAACTAAGCCAGGCCGGCAGGCTCTGTTTTTCCCCCCCTGCCCTCTGCGGCCTTGTCCGGCCTGGAGGCAGGGAGGAGGCCGAGACAGAGCCTCTTACCTTGTCAGAGGCAGGAAACACAATGAGCACAAGAGAGCTCTGGCTTTACATCTTAAAGCGGTGTTCACAAGTTGATCTCACTTCTCAATGGTTAAAACCGCCTCCAATTCTCAGAAATGACCAATAATTGGTCAAGAGGAAAAAACTCCCATCAGCCTCTGGCAGCTTCAACTTCCCCCCCCAGCTCCCGAAGCTGTCTTCAAGGTAAAGTCACCCCAGGACAAAATGCCTTAAGAATGTGTAGAGTTTATACAAACCTGTCAGACTGGGACTATTGGTCTATAGTTCACAACAACACAATACTGTTGTGTTTTTTTGTAGCTTTTTTTTGTAACTTTTTTGTTGTGTTTTGCTTTGCTTTGTTTTGTTTTGCTTTTAAGCATGATGGATTTTAAAAAGTGCTAGTCGATTTATTGATGCTGTCATTACACTGCCAGTTATGGTAGAAATCACACCCAATAATAATTCCACAGAAAATGTTTGAAAAGGAAGTATAAGCAAGTCATCACCTCACTAGTGAATCACACTCTTGGTAAAAATGTCTTTAAGCCTAATTTGTAAAAAAAAATACATTAAGATATTTTAACACACTTTCAAATATTGTTTTTCCCATCATTAGTATAACAATTATGGACAATTCTATACAATTAACTGACTGAATAAAAGCCAGAAAATTTGTCTTAATGTTCAATGAGAAAATTACTCACTTTGAATGGAGTTTTTTCATTTTAAAATCATTTATAAAGTGAATAAAATAAACAGCACATGTGGGAACATGCAAGCATGTGAATTAGTAAGGATGTTCGATCTTCAGTTCTGTAAACTATTGATTTTACTCTGATCAGATCTTTATTTGGTAACCCAAACTCAGAATGGCTTAGCCTGATATCGCTGTACAAGTAAAATATTTATTTTTACTATCAGCAAAGAAGAATATGTTATTATTTCAAGTAAGCAAGAGAAAGGGGAAGGTTAGCTGATGAATAGCAGCCTGCAGGTGAGGTTATCCTGTGGCTGGTAGAAAGCTCATACCCACTGAGCTGTAGCATTTCTGGATAAGTGATTCCCATGCTTTAGATAGATTGACCTTTTATTGGAATCCATGTTCTGGTGAATCAGCTGCTACTATATACAAGAAGGACACTCCAGACTATGCTGTAACCAGTTGTCTCTGATCTTCTCTTGTCAGCCTTCGCCTGTTAACTTTACTGCCACAGAGAGAAATATTTCCACCAAGGAAGAGAGAAATGAAAGGAGACGAGAATGTCACAAGTGGCAGAACTTCTGCTGGGATTTCATTCTCCACCCCTGCTTGGGACTCCTTCCTGCTTCTTCCTATCCTAATGCAAACATGGTCTAGCTTCAGAATAGGTAATCCCATTTATACAACAATAGACCCCAAACACAAAAACCCAGGACAAAAACACAAGAACCAGGATAAGAAACAGGCCATGAAGATAAGGATGCAGGAAACAGCTGTGAGGTTGAGTTGATGGTCTCCTTTACTAGAATCAGCACTGGAAGGTGCAGTCATGAGAAGGGTTTTTCATGGGTCATTTTGTTTTCCATACTCACCTTTTAGGAACAGCAACAGTCAAAGCAGTTGGGTATGAGTTACAAGTTTATATGAGACAAAGCCTGGCACTAACAGCATCTGACAGTCTCTAACAGAGTCCTACAGAAAAACAGTTATAGGAACTTCTTGCCTTTAAAGTTGAGGGAGACAAACAAACAAAAAAAAATCACAACACTCATCATATATATACTTGGACAAAGAAACGGTTATTGACTTTATAGAACTCACACTGTCATCTCCTCTAGGATTTCATTTCCTTGTAATGGCAACAGTTGATGCAATGAGTCAATTTGGTGAGGCTGCTATGCAAGCCTATAAAATGTAATGGTTTCCAGGCTGGCATTGTGTCTTTCCTATCTTAAACAAGCACACGCCAATGCTTTCTAATTTGAATTAGTAATCACATCCTACACATTACAAACCATCAGATCTCAGCTGTTATCAAACTGTTCCACGTTGCCAGCTATCCTTGATATCAGATCATCTGATTGTTGCGTGGTGGTTGCTAAGGCAGTCCAGAAAAATATCATTCATTCAGTATAAGATTTGTTCAATGCTTTAGTTTCCAAGCTAGCTGTCTTCCCAAATGAGTTTCATAATAGATTTTATGATACATCAAAAAATTGCAGCCTTGTTCAGAGTTTTTCAAGAAATTCCCCTTATTTCAGTGTTCAGAAATAAGCAGGACCTGACTGTGACAGACTTCAGATAGAAATCTACCACTGTCATGAGCTGACCCAGGCCAAATGCCAGACACCCACAAAAGCAGCTCGCTTACTCCCCTCTGCAGCGGAACAGAGCAGAGAAAATTTAATGGAAGGTTCATGAGTTAAGGACCAGGAGAGATCACTTACCAAATACCATCACAGGCAAAACAGGCTCAACTTTGAGATACAAAGTGAACTTATTACTAACAAAATCAGAGCAGGATAATGAGAAGTAAAATAAACATGCAAACCCCTCCCTCTTTCCCAGCTCTGCCTCCTACCCCAGTGGCTCAAGGAGGGAGGGAATGGGGTTATGGTCTGTTCATCACCCGTGCCTTCTCCCACTGCTCAGGGAGAGGAGTTGTTCCCCTGCTGCACTGTGGGGTCCCTCCCACAGGAGACAGCTCTCTGTGACCTTCTCCAGCCTGGCTCCATCCCACGGGCAGCAGCTCCCTGTGAACTGCTGCAGCGTGAGTCCATCCCACGGGCAAACAGCCCTCCCAAAACTGCTGCAGCCTGGGTCACTCTTCCACAGGGTGCAGTCCTCCAAGGACAGGCTGCTCCAGCACGGGAGCAGGGCCCCTCACCTTGGGTCTCCACGGGTTTACAGCCTCCTTCAGGCACCCACCTGCTCCAGTGTGGGGCTCTCCATGGGCTGCAGATGGATCTCTGCATCCCCATGGACCTCCATGGGCTGCAGGGGCACAGCTGCTGCACCATGGCCCTCACCACGACCTGCAGAGGAATCTTGGCTCCAGTGCCTGGAGCACCTCCTTCCCCTCCTTCTGCATGGACCTTGGTGTGTGCAGAGTTGTTCTCAAATTGTCTCACTCCACTCTTCTCAAGCTGCAATTATAGCTGTGCAACAACTTTTGTTTGGATTTCTTCTTAAATCTGTTATCACAGAGGTGTTACCACCACTTCTAATTGGCCCTGCCTTGACCAATGGTGCATGCATCTTTGCAGCCTTCAGGGACTGGCTCTGCCAGACATGGTGGAAGCTTCCAGCAGCTTCTCACAGAAGTGGTCCCCCTACTCCCAAAAAACAGGCTGTGCAAACCAAATACAAGCACACAAACCTGAAGTTTTACAGTCTGATTTTCTGTTCTTCAGCATTATCAGACAAGCATTCTCCCATTTCTAAAAGCATTTCTAATTAAATTATGCCAAACCATATATTAATTAGCAGAATCCATACTTCCTACAAAGCACAGTTTCTAATTCAGATGGAGATTTGGCTACACAAAATCTAAAGTGTTATTTAGCTCACTGCAGGACAAAGCACAACATTTCCGTCCTTACTTTGTTCATTCTCTGCTGAACATTGGAATCAAAGGAACACAGGAAAGCCACTTTTTGTGCCAAAGCTCATCTGCTTTTAATACACCTTTCAATCTCATGATTGCTTTCGTGCTGTCTGTTCTGCTTTAGCAAAACAGTAACAAGTCTACCCTTTCATACCAACATATTCCATTATGAAAACCAGCTAAATAGAGTTAGATTTAATCTCTTTCTTCCAAATTATGCAGTTATTAAAGGAAAACAAAAGCACATCTATAAAATTTAACAGTTTGAATTTTAGATATTCCTTTACAGACACTGGGGGGATTTTTTGAGCGTTAGGTTGTTTATCTGGTATTATGTTTAGAAGCACTTAAACAAAGTATGCCTTTTCCAAAGCATGCCATGGACATCACAAAATTGTGTATGTATTTGACTGAAATTATCAAAGAATTTCATTTCTAGGGGAAAAAAAAACCCCAAAAAGCTCAGATACAGTGAGGTTTGGAGAAGAATTGGCCCCTTCACTTGGCATGTCCCTTTCACCATCACTGTGAAAACAAATTTTCATTTTCGCTGTCTTGCTTTACAGTGTCCCAATGTAAACCTTTTAAGAAATATTTCTAAGAACAGATTTGTGATTTGTTTTTCTTTTCATCCAAATGAATTTTAGTATTAAAATTTGAACAGAAAAGTTAGATTTAGCTTAGATTTTTTTTAAAATTAAATAATTCGTAAAAAGCCTGACTTTTTAATATTATTTCCTTATACAACAGAATGGGCAAAAATCTACTTTTCTGTTGCTAATATTTAACAAAATTAAGATCTTTGGTGGAAGAGGCCAATTAGAGGGCAGAAAATCACAAAACTTTTTTTATGGAATGATTGTTTTATTACAAATAGTTTCTATAAGAAATGTAGCAATTCTTAAAAGAAGGTTCATTAAGTCTCTAGTGCTGAATGCATGTCTCCAAAGAACAGAAGATATAAATTAAAAAGGCTTTCCCTGTGTTGTTGATGAACTTTGTGATTACTCAAATTTACAAGAACCATGCTTTTACCCAGAAGTTCAATAAAAGATTGAAGTATGCCTTATTTAAGTGAAATTTTGGATTTTCCTACAGTTTTTCAAGTCAGAAACTCTACCTCAAAATAATATGACAACCTTAAGATATGAGTATCAAATTAAGATATATATTTATGGTTTTCAGTAAAACTAGACGGCTCACTCCTATGATGCTTCAGTGTTCAATGAATTTAATTTTAATATTAAGCTGCTTGTTTCCCCCCAACATGAATTTTCTACTGGACGTATGTGAACTTGTGATCTGATCAAAAGATCAGACTGCCAGGGACTATGTCTAATATCTATTATAAAATGTAATCAAAATATGAGAAAATTGATCAGAGAAGTATATCTTAAGTAAATTTTTAAGTAAATCCAGTGTAATTTATATCTTGAGGGTGCCAGTGGAAAAAAGCTGCTATGCTTTACAAGCAGAAGTTAATAACAAGGGATGAAGCAGGGTATGATTCTGTCATATAAAATTTACTCTGCAATACAATTTTCTATCATTTACTCACACTTAGTGAATAAATGCAAAGGTTTTATCCACACTAGCTAACACAGAATTATTGTGGGCTCCAGTCTTCCCTGCTTGGTCAACCTCTGAATCTGGAGAAGTTAAGGTTCCAGTGATTCTACAAGAGAGTTGATAAGGGACTTTTTACAAGAACATGTAGTGATTGGACAAGGGGGGATGACTTTAAAATGGATAGAGTGGTAGATTTAGATTATATATTGGGAAGAACTATTATCTCAAAAGCCATCTGGATTATGCCTTAAATAATTTAAATTTTTGCATCTTTTTGCAGCTGTTATCCAAAAGCTTCTGGCAGAGGACGTACAAGCCCACGCTACCACCCCAACCATACATGTGTATGTCTTGACCTTTCAATTTCCTTGAGAGCCATACCCACTGGAAATGACTATTAAAACAAAGAAAAGCTTCACCGCATTCTGGCATTTTCAGGGAAAAAAAAAATCCAGCTAATGGAAAGTGCTTGATAATGTTTGCTTTTGTCTTTTCTCTTGCATGTTCAGCTGAACTTAATCTATTGTTTGCAGTTAGACAAAAGGCAGGACAAATTACATGTTTGCCTACGCCTATTCAAAGAAAGGGAACAAAGGTTTCAGAATCAGCCATAGAAAATGGAGTTATTTTTCTCACTCTTTACAAATATTTAAGTTGTAAGCATCTGAGCTGCAGAAATAACAAGCCTAGCTGAAACTGCCTTTTCCCAAGAAACCTGAAAAGACTTTACCAAAAAAAGAAAAAGACACTTCTTTTCACTTGTCATGAAAATATTTTCAAGACCAGTTAAGAGAAATAACTTTTAGATTTTAATTTACAAGACAAGAGCCATTTTAAGTATTGCATTTTTGTGTTTAGGTTCTTTTGATGAAATAATGAAGAAAGTAACCAAATCCACAAAAATATTTATTTGTAACACATTTGCTTAATAACAATTCTGATGTACTTCTGGTCCTAAGAAAGACCATGTCCCACAAATTTATATAATTCTAAATTAAATAAATGACTTAATTTTATCAGAGAACTCTCACCGCTAGTTCAGATGCGTTTTGTATTTATCTCTGACGTTTTACTATAGAAACATATTGCTTGTCCCATCATGTCTTATGTAATTTACTGAGTCCAGAGGACACACATTTTATTGTACAACATGGAGCAGTGACCATTAATAAATTTCCCTCAGGAGACATTAGCAATTTTTAAAAAAATGTTTTCATGCATTTTCTAGCACAATAATTTCCACTGTTTTGGAAAGTAGGATATTTTATCAATGGGGTGGGTGGTGGCCTACTATATCATGATATACCAGAATTGTGTGAGGAGTGGCATGTTTTGGAAAAGGCATACTTTGGTTAATTAAGTTTTTGTAAATAGAACCTGCTCTCAACTTTAGGACATCTGATACCTGTACTGGTTTTGAAATGGAGTTGTGGTGCAGCACTGGTTTTGTTAGTTATACTACATTTATAGCTATTGTCCACCACTGTGGTCTTCTTCTTCTTGTTGCATGCCATTTTAAAGGACAGTGAAAAATATTGCCATTTTTAGAATAAAGTAAAGGTCCTTCATCCTTCACAACTGAAAACAAGGCAGCTGAAGGCCAAAATTTCACTCACACAGATTTCTGTGGACTGCCTGAGCAGCATGGCAGCTATGATATTAAGACAAAAAGAATGGCAACTATCAGCTTTGAGAACTGGAGACACCAAATTATGATGCATGAATAGGGCTACTCAATAGGGATTTCTTTTAATATACATGTACACAGGGATTGGAAATGGACTGGAAAAATCAGCCTATTTTAAAATATGGTTGCTATGCTTAATTTTCTCATTTGCCACCAACTGGATGAATAAATCGATCACTTTGTTCATTGCATAATAATTTAAGGATTAACCCTTTCCTGTATTTCTACACAGTGCTATAGCAGTAGAAAAATACTGCTTCTCTAGAGTGAGTGTTCAGTTTTATGTAGCCTAAGAGAAAATGTTTATCTATTTAGTGCAACCTAGTACAGGAAAACAAGTTTTCCAGATTCTTCTGGAAAAATATTTCAAGATAAGCAAATAAGATCTTGGTCTAGAGAATGCCATGAATATCTGAAAATACATAAATAATTTCATAGGCATATGTAACTGAGAGGAGTCAAGTCATTCCTGTGCTTCTGTAGCTAATTTCACAGCATATGAGTATGTGAGTATAGAGAAAAGACTCTTTAGCATCAGCCTTTCCTAGATTTTTCTGTCTCTATCTGATCACGTAAAAAGTTGTGGTACTAAGAAAGTACACAATACATTTCCTTGGTTTAAAAAAAAATATTTCTAATCTGGTACTAGGGCTTTTCTGCAAGAGCACGATTGGAAAAGTGTTCTTTGGTGACTGACAAAAATAGCACAAGAGCAAATGGGTCTTTACCATTTACATATTCAGCATTGAATAAAAATTGTCTTTGCAAATAGTCTGAAACTACCAAACTAGTTTTTCAAAAGTTGTTGGAGGGTCTGAAGTGGATTCATTAAATCTTTGTTTCGTAACACAAGCTGAATTTGTCACAGCAATATTGGGCAAGTGCTATGTTCTTGTGTATGCCTTAAGAGCTACTCATCCACTGCATTTTTAGATGACAAATCTAATACATTAGGAGAGGTTTATTCATCCTAAAGAATACTTGATCTTACTGTGATGCATGAGCTCCAAAAGTTAATGGTTACTTGCTGTGCACTTTTCATGAAGATTGAAAAAGATTAAACTGTCATAAAAATCCCTGCTTTGTACTGCTGGGCAGAAAAGATAATCAAGCTCAGCGGGACTGTGTTACCTTCTAGCAGCTCTCAGGACCCTGACCCATCCTTTTGCCCTCTGTTAAAATAAAGGTCCGATGCTTTTAATAATTATCTTTGTCAATGATAAATCTCTCCAAAATTTTGAAGTCAAAAAAAAGCTAATCTTGTAAAATGCCGTTTTAGGTACACCCCACTGTTTTTATTTGTATTTTGATGAAATCTATTAAAAATCTTTGAATTTTGGTGACATGACAGGTCCCATTTATCAAATTTTTGTTTACTAGGCACATTTCAGTTTAAGTGAATCTTGGTTGTGATCAAAAGTTTTTTCCAAACTTCCCTCTACACAACAAGCTAGCTTATTTTACTTTTTTCATTTTTATAATTACAGCAAGAAGTAAAGTAAAAGTTAGCTAAATATTTTATCTCAATATAAAAGAGACAAACAGTAAGAAGTTAAACTAACATAAACTAACAAACAGTAAGGAGTTAAAGTAATAGACTACAGGAGCAAGAATCAGGGATTATTTGGTCAGTCTTGTTCTTTTATTTGAAAAATACTGAATTCTTCCTTAATTTGGAAGGCAAATATAAGAGATATAAGAGACATAAGAGTCATATAAGAGACATAAAAGTCCTCTAACCACCCTCTAGCTACTAAATAATGGCTTGCTTTTTTACAGACAACATAACAAAATGTTTTGCTAAAGGTATGGAGGATGCAAGGATAAATTTTGGGAATGCTAATAACATTACATGTTTTTTTATTTTTTTCATAATTATTATATTATAAAAGGTGTATTATGAAAGAATATCTTACAATATCAATAATATATTTCCCAATAAATTTCATTTAGAATACGTGTATTGGAATCTGCTTTTATAAACTAACACACCCTAATTCATCTAACATAACCACTGATGGGTTAAAAAAGAGATTTGTTTGTGAGTTTCTTTTAATTGGAAAGTGCAACATATTTCACTTTCCTCATTACAAATGTCTGTAGGAACTGGATTACATTTTCCCAAGTATCTTCCAGAAGCTGTAGCACAAACCTACAATCCTAGCTTTCTTCTGGAGTAAAACTAGGATAGTCAACATCTTCAGCAACTTCCAGGTTATGGTCCCACCTGATGCTTGCTAGCTATTATTTAATAAACCTCTCTAAGGGCAGTAGTGGGTCTATGCTTCTAAAATTTGTATTCTTCTCTGTTTTTTTTAATGAAATTCTCATGCACAACTGGCTGAAGCTCCCACATCAGTGTTCCCCATGGACCTTCCTGTGTCTCAGAGAGTTAAGTACACAAATGAGAAGACCAAAATGCAGCATGAATATTAATGTTCTGGCAGAGTGTGTTTCAGCTGGCAGGGTTCTTTTACTTGGGCAGCTGCCAGATGTGATCATTTGGAATACAAAACTACTTTATGAGAAAAGTGTAAAATAAATCTAGAATCTGCTGGGAAACCCAAAGCAGTTGTTTCTTTATTACAAATATACCTTTACTTTTAGCTACAGACTACTAGGATATCTGCTAGAAACTGAAAAGTGTATACTTCCCAAAATGGAATAAAATGCTGCAAGCCAACATTGCAGAATAGGGGAAGATGTGCAGAAGCAGAGGTTGTGCCTTTGTTTCCTCTTTCTCAGATATTAAACACATATTAGCAATGTATGTAATGGAAAGCTGAGTATTAATATGTTGTTATTTGTCTCCTTCTTTCCCTCCTCTTCTAGGATGCTTTATTTTGGTAAAGAAAAAACAAGGCTCTCTGCAGACTGGCAGTGTCTAACCCCAGATGTTTCCTGTGTATTTTCTAAGCTGAGCACCTCATATTACCAGTTGCTGTGACACATGTAATGTCATTAGACAGGGAATAAACAACTTCAAAACCATCTACAGAGCCCAACATCTAATTAGTCAAACAAGCAGGCTGGGAAATCAGAAACACCAGAGCCAGCTCTATCATGCAGTGTGCTGTAAGAAAAACTTATGCCCAGCTGCACGTTTGCTCCAAGGCAGTACTGAAATTATTTCAGGTACAAATAATCATGATCACGTGAGACTCAAAAAATGATGGTCTTTCAATTCTTGAGACAAATAAAAGGACAATATTTTATATGCTATGGATGTGTAGTAGAAAAGAAGGGGAGAAAAAATGTTAATTTTTTCAGCAGTTAGTGAAACGGTATCATTGGGAAAGAGTAAACGGAGGATGCTAGAGCATATTGGAGGGGAGACTAAAATTTTCTTCTTGGAAAATTAATACAAGATGATTGTAAAATATTCGCCATAAATCCTCTTCTGACTGTGGTGGGGCTGGGAAAGAAGAGTAGCTTTCACACAGCCCTTCAGGTTATGTCTATGAAACTTGCCTACATGCACACTCAAGCTGTGACTCTGTAATTTACACTATATTCATCCACTGCAGAAAATGGGGGAATAGGAAAGACAGAATCAGACTATTCTCTGAGGTGCACTTGAAAACAGAGAGGCAATAGGCTGAATCTGGTATGGCAATTCCTGCCTGGAGAAAAAGGAAAAAAAATATGATCCAGTTTCAAGTGTTTATATATGAGACTGTGTTTTCCAGAGTCGTTCCTGGAGATTTTCAAAACAGACCTAGAAGTCTTAAGCAAACTAATCTACTTTGAAGTTAGTTCTGCTTTGAGCAGGTGTCTGGGCCTGATGAATACCAGGAGTTTCTTTTCAATTCTGTGATATCTTACCATGTTTCAGGGATGTTAGATTCCTTGATCTTTAAGCCAGGACTGCATGTCAGAAGTGGAATTCGTATTTTGGAGGGTGTTTTTCTGACACAAGCAATGAGATTGCTGTTTTTAAAGGTGAACCTATTCTTAATGTGCTTGCCTATTTGCTTTCATTTCCATATGTATTATTTTCTGTATTGTCACTTTGTAACTAGAACTCTCTAAAGCATTTCAGGCTGCTTTCTCAACCTGGGCATCTTTGCTTAGACTATTTTTAATTGAATGAATCAGAAACAATGTCTTTGATTGCTTCTGCTCCTTAGGGACTGAAGGAATATTTGGGCTTATCTATCCATTCTCCCAACATGCTGCCATCTCTAACTCTTAATTTCATTTCAAGAACTACTCAATATAAAAAAAAAAAAGAAAAAAAAAAGGGGGTGGGCATTGAAAGACAAAGTAGGGTGAGAGAAAGGTCCCTAAACAATCAAATATAAGTGATAACAATTGCTGAAACATGGCTGAATTGCAAATGACTAAAAGTTACTTTTTTGTAATGCACGCACAATTTTTTGTCTTACCAGATGTGCTGCAATGTTATTAGGGTGGGTTAATTTGCTGTTTGGGGTTTTTTTGCAAGACTTCAGGGCAGAAATGATCTGGCATAAGAGAATGTATGCTTTGTCTTGATCTCTAACTTAAGTAAGCCCTTGCACTCTTAAGAAATGAAGTCTAGATCATGCCTTGTTCTAGTAGTCTAGGTCTTGTTAATGTAGATATAAGAAATTATAAATTCCTTCCTTTATGTTCAATTCTATTTATTCTAGAATGAAAATGTACATAAAGGGAAACAAGTTACTTGCTTTTAGAGTATATACAAAATCTATATATTTGTTTCCATCTCCAGTGAGAAAACAACTGCTGGAGTGCACAAATATTGCTTCTCAAAGTAAGGCAACTTGCTACTCAGGAATTTTGTGGGAAGCATTAAGTCAGTACCAGCAAAATAATAAAAATTACAACAGATTTCTGGCTTTCACTAGAAGCTGGCATGCAGAATTAATTGGTTTTTAAATGATTTCTAAAGGAAAAAGCATGTGAATGTAATTGGTTTTGCTGAAATGTTACTGCACATTTTTCCCAGATGTAAAGGAGTTGTATAGAAATAGAAAATTCCTCTGATAGCCGCAGCTACAATGGGTTCATGGCAGCTGAGCCAACCTCTTCAAAGGTTGTCTGAGGTATGTCTTGTTGAAAAATCAACAAGATTGATACACATGTACATGTTTAAAGGAGGAATACAGGTATTATAACACAAAGACTTTCTCCAGCAAAAGTCAGACCTGTCCATGGTCTGGTAAACCACTGCTGGGGCAAAGAGTCATAAATACCTGGTTGTACCTGGTAAATACCGAGTCTTAGGAACAAACTGACTCTTTTTCTAAAATAAATTCTACTGATCCTGGACTTACATATGTTTTTCACTTCTTTTAGCAACTTTATTTATAAGATTTATTGTATACAGAATTTTGTGGGCAAAATAATTTTCTCCACAAATTAAATTAATGTTTGCTAGCAGAAATGTCTCAAAAGATATGCATTAACATCCTCCTCATTGTATCATGTTATATTTGCAGTGTTGCTCAATACACACAATGTTCTTTGGTTCTTTGGAAAATATTTTTTTTTTTTTTTCTTAGCTAATACTAATTTCCTGTTTTGTCCATAGCTAAACTGACCCCCCCAAAAAAAAACCAGATGAATTTTCAGCAATTTTAGCTGCATAACTATGCTGGTTTAACTATGCAAATACCAAACAATCCATACATAAAATTTATGTATAAATTTTACATAAAAATATAAAATTTTATATATAAAATTTAACTATGACAAAATCACCTTATTTCTGGTTTGAAAATAGAACTTTCAGTCTTTCACAAATATTGATGCAATGTAAAGTAAGGGCTTATTTCATTAGAGCCTTAACAATCTCTTGTCATTCTAGAGAGCAGAAATAAAACAAAACAGATGATAACTGGCTTACTGTACAAAGAAGACCAAAGACATTTCTGTGTCAAAGTAAAAGAACATAGACTGCTTCACCACTTCAATATTTACATGGATACCTTGCATCTGCTTTATTTCTTCCTCACTACACAACCTGTTGAAGAAAATGCCATGAAATTCCTCTTATTGATAAATGAAAAAGAGAGAGAAAACATTATCAAGCTGATCACTTGTGATAGCAGATGTTACATAATTTTGTTATGGAGTGATTTCCTGCTGCTAGAGGGTTTGAAATAATATTTACTTGCATAATTCTAATTGCATTTATTTTATTTCTCCTGGCCTAAATAAAAAGCAGAAATTAAACAATATTGAATACTTCATGTAGATAACCTCTTTAGAAAAAAATGAATTAAATGTTTTTACTGATATTTGAAAGGTTAATACAAAATAACTGGTGATAGAATCATATTCCAAACAACCAAAACTATACAAACTTCAAATATCAATTTTTTCTCCTCATAGGACTAGAATTCCATCCAATCATATTCTTATATATCATAATTCATATTCAAATTATATCTATGGTGAATGAAGTGATATAGCCTTTAGAGGTGAAACATATTTGTATCTATGAGGCATCTCTCTCCTATAAGAACTGTCTCAATAGAGGAGCGCCCCTTTTCTCCTCAGTACCTTAAACTATCTGTGCAGCTTATCTATGTCTGTTATTAATAAATAATGAATTCCCGCCTGACATGTGGGAGTAATTTTTGTTAAATTATCTGATAGTTAATCTCTAAGGCACACAAAGAAGAGTCAAAGGTAAGGAAAGGAAGGGAACAAGGTGGCTGTAAGAGAACAAGTGTGGAGGAAAAGGTGACAACACTGGCTGGACAAGGGAAGCAAGAATGAGACATCACAAGCTGGTGGGTCCTGAGTGCTCATTGTTAGCAGCCTAAAGAAGCTGTGGCTTAAGTACTTGCTAAGAAGAGGAATGAGGCAGGTAAAGGTAGTTATGAA